GTGGTTGTTACAGTCTTTACACTGTATGTTGTAGATGACTCCTATTTTTTCTTCTTGGTTTATTGGGTCTTTTGGTTTACTTAAGATGTTTTGGAGAGCTCTAGTTGATTTGTGTGCTGTAGTGGTGCTATGTGGTTGTAAAAGTCTGTTGGCTGTTTCTGAGATGTTTCTGATGTATGGCAGTGTTATTCTCTTCATAGCTTTGTGTTGGTTGTGTGCTGTAGTGGGTTGAGTGGTCAGGTGTTTTTTGATAACTACAAACTCAGACAAAGAATCAAGCAGTAAACAACAGCTTAATCTGGGAACTACCAAGAAAAAAAAACACCCCATCCAACACTGACAGGACAAGTTACTGTATATAAACAGAGAGCCAACCCCAGTCCCTTCTAGCTGAAGATGTTACCTAGTCAAATAGTGAAACATCTGCAAGAAAACAACCAAGCTGAGAGAACCCCAAGGACTCTATAAAGGTGTGACTCTTTGCAGGTTGGAATTAATACACATCACCTGTGCATGTCCTGAATAGCTGTGCTTCACATTTTTTCTCCAGCTTTTGAGAAAGCCTAGGTGAGGCCCACAGTTAGTCCAGTTACAGCTAGTTCCATATGCCCAAGAGCTTGAACTTTGTGATTCCCAGAAAACCCTGAGAAAAGTTCCAGAACATGCTTAAAGTGGCTCTTTGAATGCTAGGCAATTTCATGCTGACTGAAAAGCTGATCATTCTGCTGTGCATGCTTGGTGTGTGGATCAAACTGTAGGATGGAACATACAAAATGATCTGTGCCATTCTGTGTTTGTTCATCAATCTTGGTTCTCCCTGCTCCTACTCCCTTCCCAAATGTCTTCCTCTGCTTTTACTCAGTTTGCAAATGTCTCCCATTTCTTCTTTTTTAGGCTCCCGTGGGGCTTTCTGTGAGGTGAGACCAGATGATAAAAGAATCCTGGAATTTTACAGCAAGCTGGGATGCTTTGAAATAGCCAAAATGGAAGGTTTTCCAAAAGATGTTGTTATCCTTGGAAGAAGTTTGTAAGAGATTTTTTAGTGAACCTGTGAGACTGGAGCCATCTAACGGTTGGAGAGTAGTGAGCCTGAGGTTTGTTATTGTCTGCCCATTCAAAGGCAGCAGTCAGCTGGCCTGACAGGAAAGAATCACCCATTACACTTTCTCATATGCTGCTCAAAACAGTTTCGAGAATGGATACTGGTCATCGTTTCCTGGTCTTACACAAAGTGCCAAGGGATACTGCGAATGATGTAGCTTCGGGAAAAGATTCACACCAATTCTCAAAGAAGGACTGGGGGCTCTTCCATCTCTATGCAGCAGAATGGCCGTCTCCTCTGTATTGTGAAGTGGGATGCAAAATGGAAGTGGGATCTTGTATAGAGAAACACAGGGTACCTGTGCAGGTCATTTTATGAAAGATGAATGATAACTCATGGTTTTGTTGGCTGTTTTGCTTAGTAGGGAAATGGCCATCACCTCTAAAGAAAATGGGTTAAGCTTTGTGCTTTGTAGGGATAAACTGTGCATTTGTCTGTGGCAAAGTCACTCAGTGGCAGAAGTGTACATTTCGGTGTGTAAATATATATAAACTTGCTGTATGCTGACACTTTGTGTTTAATTGTTTTGTACTTATTTTGCTTTCCAAAGCAAAGCGGTATTCTGAGACAGCACCTTTGAATAATTTCAAAAAACAGAGAGGCTGAAGCCCACATTACTTCTGGTCTATTCTGCTATGTTTCATGCCCTTTGTTAGAATGCCAGTTTGAATAAAAAGAGTGCTGATCTAGATGGGTCAATCCTTTAGAGAATGCATTTTCAGAAAATGGGTAGATATTGCTTCCTACCAAGGAAAAAAAACAACTTGTTGACAGTCACTTCAATGATAGCCAGTGAATTGCTCACCCATGATGGTGGATGGAAAAATACTGTGACTCATAGCTCCTCATTCTTCCCTGTTCAGTCTGATTAAATCAGGGTCTTCAAGTCATACATATTTGTGACAGACTTCTGGGGGGAATAACAAAAAGCACATTTTATGTATTATTTGTTACCTAATTTTAATATTACTGCCTGTTCCAAACATTTAAGGTTTTTACTTCAGTCTGACAAACTGAATCTGTATGGCTAGGACTTGTAGGAAGGATGTCGGATGCACTATTATTGCCTTGTTCTAAGCAGGCTGTTAGCCAACATAATGCTTCATTATTTTCACCTATTACAATTAATCACTTCTGGTTCCTTTGAAACTATTTCTTTTTAGTAAGAATGGAAATTGCACTGATCCTGTTTAAAAAAAAACAATCTGAAATTTCATATACCTTTTCATATGGCGGTTTACTGCCATTTTAATTTGTACCCATTTCATAGAAGCTGGTGTTTGGCCTTGGTTATAGTTGCTTATTGATATTTGATTTTCACTGTGAATTTTTAAAAGCAGAAAAGTTCAGCTGCAGCAAATACATTTCATTTGAGGAGCAAAACAATGAACAGATGGACTTTCATGAATTTTTTTATGGTTTTGAGTGAATGCTAAGCAGCTAGCCACTTCATTTAGTTTTGACTAGGCACAGTGCGTGTATACAATAGTTGGATTTATAACAATTTTGTGGGGAGAGGGCATCTGGCTTTTTATACTGTTAACACAAACTGTTATAAATTTATCACTGTTTTAAGTTACTTGTGTGAATCTTGAAAGTTTGAGTCAGTTGCTTGTTCTGCGTGTGTAAAGTGTAGCACTGACACAACTTTCAGAGTTACAGTATCAGTTTTCATTGCATACAGTTGGAATGCCACTTTCATGACTGTCTTTAGATCTACTGTATCTGTAGCAAAACAACGGACTGTAAAACTGTATTTGGAGACCATGTGAAAAATAGAATAAATTGCAAAGTCAATGTGAAGGCATGTTTTGGTATAATGTTAGAGAATGAGGAAAGTAAGTGGACAAGAATACTCTTCCTGTTGTGTTTTATAACTCTAATGAATGTGTGGTAGCAGTGGGTAGTTCATATTTTGGCTCCACTTTGCAGGTTTGGGTATAGCAAATTTGCCTCCTGTGTTCATTTCTCTTGGGCATACTGTTTTGTAAATACAATTAGTAACGGAAAGAAAATGGATGGGTGTTACTGAAGGCTTATTTGAGTAGGTGTTTATTCATATTCAGAATTCACAAACAATATCTTCTGATTTAAAAGAGAATAGTAATTCCAGGTAATAATGGCCCTTTACCACTATATGTGATCAAGGCCACTTACGGCTCACAGCAGGAGTGTATAACTTGTACCCCTCCAAAGCCCTAAGAAAAGCTCCAAGAAACCCACCAATTAGTAATTTTCAATGTGGCAGAATGGAAAGTGGGAGTAATAATGTTATGTTTTTTTAATTTAATTAAATTAAATTAAAGTGAGTCCTACTTTTGTCTTGCTCCAAATAATGTGGACCCTTGTATGCTGGTCAAAAGCTGACCACAGCTCTTTGTTGAAGATTACATCTCTTTGGCTGACAGTTCTAGATAGCTGAAAGAAAAAGAAAGTGGTGGGGGGAACTATGTAGGGACCTGAATTTTAACAATGGTACCATCCTTTTGATTCCATTTTAGTGATATGTTTTCAAATCCTCAGATTCCATAATTATTAGATATTTGTTCTAGAGAGAGAGAGGAAAAAAAACTTCATTTAATATGTCTGGGTCTTTTTTTTTTTAATTCACCCTAGAATTAAGAAGCATCTGTAGCATGATGAACAGAATGCTTAATGGTTAGATCTTATCATGGGATTAAATTTCTATTCAGATAGTAAAAATGTGTTACATATGAATTAACATAGTCATGATATATGTCATTTTGGTACCATTTCTATCCTGCTGCAGTACAGTGGACAGTGTGATAAACAATAAGCTTTGCTATGCAGGTCAGTTCATTAGCTATGCTGGTTGGGAATTATGGAAATTGTAGCCTTAACACATCTGGATAATAGAAGCTGACTTAGCCAATTAAGGCATCAAACTGAAATTCCAGTTGCCTCCTTGTTTGGATCCCAAGTGCGTCAGTTGCTCACTTTTCCAGATTTAGCTGTATATATATCATACTTTTTCTCTCTCAATTTCATACTGTTTGAACAGAAAACCATTTCTTGTAGAAAATTGCCTTCTTGGACTTTATAAAGGTTGGAGATAAGTACTAATTGGGTTATATAAAATTGAAACTGTCAACTGTTGCTCTTTTGTCATTTGTCTGTTTTTTTCATGTTCTATATTTTAGTTCCTATTCCTAAGCTTAATAAAATATTTGACTTGGAACTTGGGGGTTGAATAGGTATTTCTTACCTGCCCAAGTATTTACTCCTTGAATGTCTTCCTTCTGTACTGTAGGTCTGGACCAAGGAAGGTACAGTGGTACCTCTAGTTACGAACGCCCCTCCTTACGAATTTTTCGAGATACGACCAGCTCCGGCCCCAAAAATGGACCAAGGAAGGTACAGTGGTACCTCTAGTTACGAACGCCCCTCCTTACGAATTTTTCGAGATACGACCAGCTCCGGCCCCAAAAATTTACCTCGTGTTGCGAACCACCTTGAAGGACAGACCGGGTCCGCGGCCTTTTTCCCCCCCGTTCCACGTGGTCCGCGGCCATTTTCCACCCGTTCCACATGGTCCGCGGCCGTTTTTCCGCCCTGATGCGTGGTCCGCGGACACCGGAACGGATTAACGGTAATTACATTGAACCTTATGG